AGGTCAGGTCAGGTCAGGTCAGGTCAGGTCAGGTCAGGTCAGGTCAGGTCAGGTCAGGTCAGGTCAGGTCAGGTCAGGTCAGGTCAGGTCAGGTCGAGAGAGTGTTTTCAAGTATAAAGCAGCCGATAGAGGAGTTTCCACTAAGGTACCAAGCAGCTTGGGTAGATCCTCCCATGAACTTCCCGTCAGCAAGCACGAGCAGCAGCAGTATCCCCCAGCATGCTCCATTATTATCGACTTGCATTCTCCACTGTCATGACGTGCATGCTAAAGGTGGAGGAGATGCATGCACCCACATGAGCCCCTGCCCCCTTCCTGAGACCGTGTCAGTCACTGGACATACTACAGTCTCCTAGAGAGCGGATCCCTGGACTCATCGGACACTGTGGACAGGTTTGGAGACGAGGGGAGGGAGAAACCCTTCAAGCGCGGGTCGGGCGAAATGCGCAAATACTGTGACTGGGTCGCAGAGGGAAGAAACATTGCCTAGCCGCGGACCGGGATACTGGACCGGATGACTCGTAGTGCAGGATCAGAGGATCAAAGGGAAGCGAGGGGTAGGGAAGATAAGTCTACTGAGTAACCCCAGCACGCCGTGTTCGCCAGAGAGACGTCGCTTGGATTCTCTCGAGGACAGACGATTCACTTCTTACATACTCGGTACTTCTGCCTCGACAACAACCAGTTCAAGCTTCGGCATGGGTCAATATTGTATTGTAGTACCTCGTCCAGCTTCTCTCCCCCCTCCAGATTGGCGTCGATCATTACTCGGTACTTCGTGGTCTATCGCCATCATACGCCGTTCATGGTGCTTGGATCAACCGTGGGATATCATGACTCCAGCCAGATCCATCAGTAGGACATACAGCGCCGAGTACAAAAACAGATGTGTTCTGCGGTCTTTCAGTTCCACGGACTCTTAATCGTCATCGTCGTCATATCTCCGACTTCGTCTTCGTCTTTGTCTGTCTGGATCGCCACTGTCCCTTTTCCTCCTATGCCGCCTCTCGCGGTCCCGCTCCCTGCTATCGTCACTATCGTAGGGGAGTCCGTCTGGATTCAGGGACCTCGATCTCCCGCTCCGTCTCCCATTCGTCGGCGGCGGCACGGAGCCAGGTGGCGGTCCGACGAACGAGCCCGGCGGCGGCGGTCTGCCACCGTTATACTGGCCGTACGGACCACCGCCAGGCGGTGGCGGACCGGGCCCATTCGGCACGCCATTTTGCCCACCGTGCCTTCGGGACCTTCTCTTGCCTTGCTGTCCGCTGGGCCGGAGTTGCGTCACGAAGTCGTACACTCTGGGAGACTGCCTCAGCAAGACCAGTTCCGTCTCGGACAATCTCGCCTCGGGGATTTTCTCCTGTCCACCCTTCTCGCCCCTCCGTCTCGTGGAGCCGCCGTGGTTGGTCCACACGACCAGCAACCCATCTTGGTTCCCGCCCTGGCCGGGCCCCACGGCTTCGACATCGAAAGTCCAGTCCCTCAAGGCCAGCGGGTTATATGTGCCCCGATCAAGCGGGCCGGGGCCACCCAGACCGAGTCTCGCCCGCACACTCGCGTGGATGTACTCGTTTGTGCCTCGTAGACGTTTCGTCGTGGGCCGGCCCGTGTAGGGGTCCGTCCTGAAGTAGTTGCCCGGTGTTCTCGTCTTGCTGCCCGTCAAGGAATAGATGCCCTTCAGCGAATTGTAGAGCTCTCCAAACGACCACCACCGCGTCCGCTGGCCCGATCGCTTGTAATACGCCCGACCCTGCTCCCACAGGCCC